TTCAAAGGAAAATGATAATTCTAGACAGTATACTAAGCCCAAAAGGAAATATATTCCTAAAGTAAAGGGTAAAGGAAAGCCCAAGGCTGAGGCTAAATGTTTCAAATGTAGACGCATAGGCCACTATGCAAATAAGTACAGAACTAAGGAGAAACTTAGTAGTCTTCACATACAAGATGAACTAAGACTTCAATTAAGTAAATTGTTACTTAATACTAATTCTTCTGAATCAGAATCATCGGCTGATTATGGGGATGTTGTTATGGAATTACAGTCTTCTTCTTCCTCTGAAGCAGAAGTTGGAAATCCAAAATGCTCCTGTAATCCCTCTCATGATGATTACTATAAGGCAATTGTTGAAATGAATGGGTTAAGCTTAAATGTTTTGACTTCGACTCAACAATCCTTATTGGATCTTATAGATCACATTCAAGATCCTTAACTCAAGATGAAAGTCTTTGAAATCGGTTCTGCTTTAGCAAGAACTACTGAGGATACTGATAATCCAGATTTTCTGAGAGTAGAAAATCATTACAGCATGAAAGAAGTTCTAAGTAGATTAGAACACCACGGACAGAATTCACGTCCTGCTAATCTCCCTAATCTCAGAATGGAGATTAATCTTTTAAAAGAAGAAATTCGTCAGTTAAAGTCTCGTCAGACTAAGATAGAACTGGAAATTACTCTTTTAAAAACAACATCTGTAACTGAAACTTCATCATCCCAGATTGAAGTTCCCCAATCCAACAGCACGAATTATCTTCAACTCTTGAATCAAGTTACTTACCAAAAATGGTATATCTCTATCAATTTGGTAATTAATCAAGAGTACACTATCACTAATGTTATTGCCTTAGTTGATAGTGGTGCAGATATGAACTGTATACAGGAAGGATTGGTTCCTACTCAATATTTTGAGAAAACCACTCAAGGTCTTACCAGTGCAAGTGGAGGAAAGATGCAGATTAAGTATAAACTTAATCATGTTTTCATTTGTAAAGAAGGTATTTGTTTACCATCTACTTTCTTACTTATCAGAATTATGGCACAACAAGTTATTTTGGGTACCCCTTTTTAGCTTTAATCATGCCAATTGAGAAAATTGATTCTCATGGAATATACTCTAATTTACATGGCCAGTCAATCACTTTTCAGTTTTTGACCCCACCAGTAAACAAGCATATCAATGCTCTTAAAGATAATATTATCTTTAAGGAAAAGCAACTGAATTATTTGCAAAAGGAGGTATCCTCCTTAGCAATTCGTCAAAGATTGGTACAACCCACTGAGCAACAGAAAATTGAGTTCATACGACAAAATTTTCTAAAGGAAATCTGTAGTGAGATTCCTAATGCTTTTTGGGCCCGAAAGAAGCATATTGTTTCTTTACCCTATGAAAAAGGATTTACCGATCTCATGATTCCTTCTAAAGCTAGTCCCAGCCACATGAAAGCTGACTACCTGGAATTATGCAAAACTGAAATCAGCTCTTTAATGGCAAAGAAGCTTGTTACTGACAGCCACTCCCCATGGAGTTGCAGAGCTTTTTATGTTAATAAAAATGCTGAAAAAGAAAGAGGAATTCCTCGATTGGTTATTTATTATCGACCACTCAATCTTGCTTTGAGTTGGATCCGATATCCAATTCCCAACATCAAAGATCTTTTAGATAGGTTACAATCTGCTGTAATATTTTCTAAATTTGATCTTAAATCTGGATATTACCAGGTACAGATTGCAGAAGAGGACAGGTACAAAACAGCTTTTTGCGTACCTTTTGGACAGTATGAATGGACAGTACGCCCCTTCAAAATTTCAACATATTTCGAATGACATATTTAATCCTTTTACTGAATTTTCTATTGTTTATATTGATGATATTCTCATATTTTCAAAATCAATCGATCAGCATTATAAACACTTGAAAATTTTCAAATATGTTATTTACCGAAGTGGTTTAGTAGTTTCTGCTCCTAAACTAAAACTGTTTTTAACTAAGGTCAGATTTCTTGGTTATGAAATTTGTGATGGGAAAATTAGACCTATTGATCGCAGTATTGAGTTTGCTTCTAAATTTCTAAACGAAATTAAAGATAAAACTCAACTTCAAAGATTTTTTGGTAGTTTGAATTATATTCGAAATCACTACCGAGATCTTGCACAGGATACAGCAATTTTGTACACCCGGTTAAGGAAATCTCTTTCCCCATGGACTTTGGAACACACCAAGGCCGTCCAGAAGATTAAACTCAGAGTAAAACAAATTCCTTGCTTAGCTCTAGCCAATTCTTCATGGTTCAAAATTGTGGAAACAGATGCATCCAATATTGGATATGGTGGTATTCTTAAGCAAAAGAATCCAAATACAGAAACTGAGGAGCTTGTTCGCTTCACTTCAGGAACTTGGAAAAATGCACAACTGAATTATTCAACCATCAAAAAGGAAATTCTTTCTTTGGTTAAATGCATTTATAAATTCCAAGATGATTTAATCAATCAGAAATTCTTGTTACGCATTGATTGTAGTGCTGCTAAACAAGTACTGGAAAAAGATGTAAAGAATTTAGTTTCCAAACAGATATTTGCTGGTTGGCAAGCTGATTTATCTGCTTTTGATTTTTCTATTGAATATATTAAGGGCAGTTCTAATTCTTTACCCGATTTTCTAACTCATGAATTTTTGCAGGGTTCATGAATCAGCCCCCCCATGGGCAGGGTCGGGGTAATACTCCAAAGGCTCGTGGCAAAAACAAGGCTAAGGCCAAAGTGGTTATACCACTAAATGATGATCAATTTCCATATTTGGATCATGTTGCTGATCTGCTCAACACACCTTCTAAAGGAAGCAGCAGTACACAACAGAAACAACAGAAACCAACCATGAAAGAGGTTCTTGAACAAGAAACTCCATGGATACCTAATCAAAGGTATATTCAGACAGTATTAGTACTGGATTCTCAAGATGAGCAATGGATGCCAGATCCTTGGGAAGTGAAATCCAGATATTTCCAAACTCAACAATATGCTGCACCGGATGGTCGCCATAGATATATCTATGAAGCCATTCTTACTGAAACTTCCTCTGTGGAGATCAACCACACGAAGCAATTTCCGAATTCCAAAGATAATCCTCTTACTTATAGTAAAGCTATCTTTAAGAGGCTTATAAGGCCTAGTGACTGGGGATTAAATCCTAATTTGCCAAGGAAAATATCCTATGGTCACAGTTACAATTATTGGGATTATATCTCAGCTTGGACATATTCTTTCTTTTATCAAAATCCGAAGCATAAGCATTCTTGGTTCTTCAAGATATGCCCTCAATCAGTTAAGGCTGATTTCTCAAACTGGGTTATACCCTGATGGGCTATATTTGGCCCTGATCTGGATATTTTGCCAGAATCAATTCGGCAATTATACTTGCCATGGCAACAATTTCATCCTCAATTACGGGGACAGGATAATATTCCTGTAGGGAAATCCACCCTATTGTTCTTTACTGAATTTGGAATCCCTTGGATTTGGAAATGGGATTTCCAATGTGGTTATACCACTGACAAATTACTAGTCCTTTAGAGGATCTTTTATTACAGATGGTGGTCCGGCATGACTCAAGACCCTATCCAAGCACTCCTCCATCATATCAGAAAGAAAACACTGGAATATATGGATAAGGTTCTAAAGTTAACAATTCCAGAACCTGAAATCTTTAACCCATTTGAACTTGTTAAAGATATGATCAGAAAGCAACAACCATTAATTACCGAAGCAGATTTAATGGTTAAATGCATGGATTTTATGAGGACCAAATTTGTTAAATCTTTTGATTCCTCCACACCTACAGTACGAGATGATGCATCCATGGTGTCAGTCTCTAGCCAGACCAGTCAAGAAGGCAATCAGTTTTCCTGTCTAGCTGGTTATGCACAAGATCCCAATGAAAATCTTATTTCTGAAGATGAGCCTACAGTAGTCGACTATTGGGACTCTCTCACCAGCCACTTGATGGACAAGATGAATCCACCCAAAAAGTAAAGATTCCTCTTATCCTGCCGACAGAAGAAGACAAAGAACTTTTTCCAAAAGTCTTTGATTCTACAGTAATTCTTTAATCAGATGTTTACTTTCCATCAGATAAAGAGACAGCACTTAGTGGTGGGCCGACCGACTGCATTATTCAAGCACACGATACCATGCACTATGCGGATTTCAAAATGTTAATTTCAAGTCCATTTCATGTATAAATAAAGGGCAAAGTTTCCCTTTAATGTATCTTTCAATTTTCCTTTCTTCCTCTTGTAATATTTCTCTCTTTACTAGTTTAGACGTTCAATAAAGAAGAAAGTTTTCTGTAAGTCTTTAAGTTTCAGTTTCTTATTTTGTACAAATTTTTATATTCCTGTTATAATTGATAAACTCTCTAATAACGATCCTAAAACCCTTTATTTTTTAAAAGATGGATACAATTTTTAAAAAAAATGGACACTTTTTGTGAGTGAGAGAGAGTAATAATTATTTTTGAAGATTGAAATGATAGAATATATATTTTGATATATATGTATATATATATTATTAGAAGTGTGACCACGTTTTAAAAGAAAAATATTTCATTTTTTACTTTTACAAATTTCAACACCACTAATAATTATATAATCAATACGGCGTCGTATGATGTGGTTCATTTTGCTGACGGTCTCCTCTTGAGTCCTGTTAGAAACTAGAGAGGATTTATAGGTTGGAGTCAACATCAGTTAAGAGTTAAGGCATCATCACTGCAAAATGATGCGAGCCGTCTGATGGATTTAAAGTAAACAGTTATTTAGAAGATAAATCTGGGACTTGAATTTATTATCGACCCCACGCTTCCCATACACGTGTACGGTTACCATTCTATGATCGCTCGCGACACATTCTTTACTCCAACCGACAACTATCAACTTATTACAGAGTTATTGGTGTCTTAATTTCGTCCTATAATTTCACAATACATAAATATACATATATCTACTGATATTTTAATTCTCTCTTTCTCTTGCTCAAGTACACAAATCTAACAGTTCAGTGTCTTCACACACTACCCTTCTCTCTCTCTCTCTCTCACACACACACACAGTCGTAGAAGTAGAGCAGGCCAAAGATGGGTTCTGTTTCACTGAAAATAGGGGATGGAACAGCCAGATTCAAGAGGGCTACACTGTGTTCTTCGGCTGTGAATGTGCTCATGCTATTCTCTGTTATCACCACCAATCTCTTTGCTTTGTATGCTTTCACATACTCTCCCAAGGATCACCAAGCCCACCCAATTCACCACGCTCACAACGGAATCTCTCTAATCTCAGAACACGTGTCTCAGATCCTCAGAGAGATCGATTCGTCTCAGAAGAAGCTAGCCCAGATGGAGAAAGAGCTCTTGGGTTATGAAAGCATCGATCTTTCAAGACCCAACATCGCGAATGAGCTCAAACTCTTCCTCAACCACCACCAGCTTCCTCTGGGCAAGGATTCAAGAACTGGGATCACTGAAATGGTGGCCTCTGTGGGTCATTCTTGTGAGAAATCTGTGGATTTGCTGTCCCAGTACATGAATTACAAGGTCAATGGACCATGCCCAGACGACTGGAGCCTTGCCCAGAAGCTGATTTTGCGAGGTTGCGAGCCATTGCCGAGAAGAAGGTGCTTTGCAAAGTCAATTCCTAAGGTGGGTCTTTATACTTTTCCCATTTCACTTTGGAAAAATGCGAGTGATAAGATTTTTAGTTGGAGTGGTCTTGGTTGCAAGAATATAAACTGCTTAAATGGCAAGAAATTGAATAGAGATTGTGTTAATTGCTTCAATTTGGTTAATGGGTTTGAGAATCAAAGGCATGTTAAGGCTAGAAGCAAGAATGATTTCCTCATTGATGATGTATTAGCTATGGGAAGTGGTGGAATCAGAATTGGGTTTGATATTGGTGGTGGGTCTGGTACATTTGCAGCTAGAATGGCAGAGAGGAATGTGACTGTAGTCACTAACACTCTAAATATTGATGCGCCATTTAGCGAATTCATTGCTGCGAGAGGACTTTTTCCTCTGTTCTTGAGTTTAGATCATAGATTCCCCTTTTATGACAATGTGTTTGATTTGGTTCACGCCGCAAGTGGATTGGATATTGGGGGCCAGCCGGAGAAATTGGAGTTCTTAATGTTTGATATCGATCGAATTTTAAGGGCCGGTGGATTGTTTTGGTTGGACAACTTTTATTGTGCTGATGAAGAAAAGAGAAGGGCTTTAACGCGGTTGATTGAACGATTTGGGTACAAGAAGCTGAAATGGATTGTGGGGGAGAAGCCAAATGGATCAGGAAAATCGGAGGTCTATTTGTCTGCTGTTCTTCAAAAACCAGTAAGAGTGTGATGCATAAGATCTTTTACTGGAAACTGCAGGAGGTATGAATACTGTTAATTGGACTAGTTTTTGTCACACATAATTTGTGTGACTTCATTACTTGACATGCTTATGGAATTTCTTTGCAATGTGGAATAAACGTGGCACAATGGTTGTTTCTTTTCCCAACTGCTAACCAGCAGTAGAGGATGATGAGTTCGGTAATTTTGTTGCCATTTCTTCCTTTCTGTAATATTATGTTAATTATCTGGTTTATGAACTGTTAGGGAATGAGAAACTCATATTGTATTGTAGAATTTATTGAGGACTTGATATTTGAAGTTTTAGCACTGAAATGAGACTTATCTGGATAAATTTGCCATTTGTTTTTTGTAAGATACCTCTTTGTAACTGTATTTCATCTCTGATAAAATGTCTTTCATAGGTACCTATTGGGTTGAATTATTAAAATAACAGAATATCATGCTATCATTAGCAATGTTCAATTGTTGAGGCATCTGTCATTCTACATATAACTTGCTTCTTGCTAAATCACAATAATTGACATGAATGAACAAACTCTATTACCAAATAGCATAACTATTCTTTGTACATAAATTTTAATAGGAACTAGCCTTCTTTTTCTTGCTTTCCCTATTTGGCCTATTTTCTTAACGGAGCGATGGCTGCTACTCCCTTAATGTATTGATGCTGCAGTCCTCTTTCCTGCATTTGACTCGTAGATGCTCCTGATAAATAATTATGGTTTCTCATTCATTATTTATTTTGTGTTGAAACAATTATTAATTATTTATTGATAATTAAAAACAATAATTATTTATCAATTGTTTTTACTATAAAAAAAAAAAATAAAGAAAAAATTACAGCCTAGTCCTACTTTTGCACTTTAAAGACGACTAAGTCCTATAAAATTTTGATTAGGACAAAAAAGTCCTACTTTTGAGATCTACTTTCAAATAAGTTCAAAATCTCATAGTAAGGAATAAAAAAGGTAAAAGACGTCATCTAGATTTTATAGAACTTTGTTAGGTTTCAAAAGTATGACTTCTTTGTCCTAATAAAAATTTCATAAGAGCTAGTTGTGTTTAACTAGGCTGTAATTTTTTCAAAAATAAATAATTACTTTTCATGCTGACTATCCAAACTTTTATGAATAGTTTGAATAGTCAGCATTTTAACAATAATTAATTTACTGAATTATTATAAACTATTAGTCAGCATTGATAAATAATTATTATTTTTACTTATAAAATAAAAAAATTATTGTTTCATGCTGATTATTCATAAAAGTTACCAAAGCATTATGAGCCCAAAGTACATCGACTAAGATGAATTGGGTATTTTTTTTGCCCAGTCCTTTAATTAGCTGTCCTTCCTATTAGAGTCAACCAATTATTTTGGGAAGAATCAAAAAGTTGATCATAAAAATCTATTCTCCTGCTTGAGTGAATGGTTTGATTAAGAGACAACAGAAGTAAAGTAGAAGTATGTGTGAAGACACATATATTGAATCCTCAATACATGATTCAACTTAAATAGTTGTATCATGTATTGGTGTAGAAGTATTGAAGATTCACAAATACTTCTACATCATTCTGTTGTCTATTGTGTACAAAAACTATATAATAGTTATTTAAGCATATTTCCAACTCGCTTTGGAATGAATCAAAATTCTCCCTTGTAATTTTATCAGTAATTCCGTGCAGTGTAAAATTTCAATTAACTGAGGTTACTTGTTGTTTTTCCATACATGTGTTACATGTGCTATATGACACACTTTAATAAATTAAGACCGATCCAAAACTGTAAGTATAGCTAATTAAAACGGCTGGACAAAAAATACTTAATTCATCTAAGTTGATAACTTTTATGAATTGTCAGCATGAGACAGTAATTCTTAAAGTTATTGTAGGGGAGAAGGTAAATGGATTAGGAAAATTGGAGGTCTATTTGTCTGCTATTGTTTAAAAACCAGTAAGAGTGTGATGCATAAGATCTTTTACTGGAAACTGTAGGAGGTATGAATACTGCTAATTAGACTAGTTTTTGTCACACATAATTTGTGTGAGTTCATTACTTAACATGCTTATGGAATTTCTTTGAAATGTGGAATAAGTGTGGTGCAATACTGTTAATTAGACTAGTTTCTGTTAATATTATGTCAATTATCTTGATTATGAACTGTCAGTCTGTCAGGGAAGGAGAAACTCATATTGTATTCTAGATTTTATTGAGTGCTTGATATTTGTAGTTTTAGCTCTGAAATGAGACTTGTCTGGATAAATTAGATCTTCTTCCCTGTTTTTTTTTTTTTTTTTAAGATGCCTCTTTATAACTGTATTGGATCCCTCGTAAAATACCTTCGATAGGTACTTATTGGACTGTATTAGTAGAATAACAGAATATCGTGTTATCACTAGATTCATTTTTAAAAACTTTTAAAGGTACCAGTATCTTTTTTTTTTTGTGCGTGTGTATGTGTGTGTGCCTGTGACATATCTAATCCCATGAATTTAATTTGGACATACAAACTGTTAATTTGGTGTGGAAGGGAAATCTATTTTTTCATGGGTGCACCTTCTGTTTGACTTGTTGAACCAAGCAAAATTTCCCCTAGTCATCTGTGTATGTTGTGAAAACTACGAATATAGATATAATTGTTACTTATTATGTTTTGGCATCCCCTATTTTGCAGCTATACACACTGTAGTCTAGTCACACCAATTTGACAACCTCTTCCCCTATTATCCCTATTTTCTTAATGGATCGATGACTGACCCTCCTTAAGGTATTGACAATGCTTTAGAAAATAATCTTCTGTCTATATATGGAAAACAAAATCCAACAAGAGTAAATCATTTTTTATTGAATGAGGCACATGTAGTTATGATTTGATGATAATATCATATTTTTTTATCAAGTCATTTGGATCCCAGAAGATGAATGTGTTGTGTATTCAGCTCATTCATGAGAAAGCAACATCTAACATAATAAAGGATGCCAATTATTTCTCTCTTGATATATCATTATATATAATGCCATTGAGGTTTTGATAACGTGATATTCTTGTTTTGCAAATAGAATTGTACTGGGGTTTGTGTAGGCATTTTTCTGGATATACCATCTTACAGCATCAAAAGTGGCCTGAAAGTTCTCTATCTTAATTTTATATCCTTTAATTCTCTATCACCAGTTCATCGATGGTCCTCAAACAAGTTACTGAGGAAGGCACTTGCTGAAATTGCGGTCTTTTTACACCTATCCCAATCCTCTTAATGGTTAAGTAAATGATTATAATCTTCTTTTCCCTGATGTAGTGATGTGTTAAACAAAATATGTAGGTTTCTTATCGATGCTACTTTTCTTAATTCATTAGATTCCTGACCATGGAATTTGGGGCTCAAATGCCCTAAATTAAAATTGTTTCTAAGTGCAGGTCAACTGAATTTTACATGGAACCTTTCTGTTGAACTAAAAACTTCTTAGCTTCTTAGCTTCTTTCTTTGAGTATTAGGCTTTCTTGTTAGACTAGGTGTTATGTACTTGCTTCTAGTGTGCTCAGGAGCAGGTCTGAAAATTAGAGTGAGGTTTGCAGACTCTTTATATACATAATCTATAATTTTGACAAGTTAAGGTTAAAGCTTGATTATAATCTCTGCTCATGGCCACAATTGCTGAGATAACGAGCCACGTGACATCTTGTGTGTGTATGGAGTTTTTTTTTCACATTTCTCTTATTCCTATAGTATTTTCAACCCTTTAATTATGTTTTTTTGAAGAGTTTATCTGCTTACCTCGTCAATCCGATGTTTTTCTTGCCAAGAGCCATCATAATTAAATCGAGCTTTAAATTAAGTTGGCAGGTTTTTTCACCATACTGTGAGTGATGGGATGAATGTATAATATCTCCTTTGATCTAGTATTAGGTTAACTTAGAATTCTTGGTGAATTAGGGTGAATTTTTTCACTGCAGCGATGTGTCTGAAGCTATGAATAAATAGACTCTTATTCAGGCCTGAATAAGGAGCCAGATAAAAGTGAAGGCAGATGAATCTGATGCTCCTTGGGGGAAAGAGAGGGAAACAATGTGAATTGAGAAGGAAAGGTACAGGCAGTAAAGTTACCTTCTTTTTTTTTTTTGGTGGGGCAGGAAGGATATGACTTTTTGAATAATGCTCTCTATTTAGTCTTTTTCCTCATTTATGAGGGCTAGTCCAGGGCACGAGGCTCCTGCCATTGCAAGGTAGGGGGAGGATCGGATGTTCACAGCCTTACCTCCGCATGGAGAGAGCTGTTTCTCGTTTCGAACCTGTGACCTACATGCTACAATGGAGTAATCTCAAGACCCGCATTCAGTCTTTTTCCTTGGTGATTTAGTCTTAATATGTGATTTGAGTAGTTAATTGTAAAGGATGCATTATCCTTTCCTTCGTTTTCATTTCCTGCTGGCTACAGATCATCAGTAATTTGAAGAAGTGAAAGCTTGAGTTATTGTTCGACACAATAATGTTCACAAAATGGGTGTTTAAGTAATTTTGCTCAGATGATGCTTGGTTCAGTAAGCACTGAATTTATCTGCTGCCTATGGCTAATGTGGATTCAAATGGATTAGAAAACAAGTCCATGCAAAAGATTCCACTATCATTGATTGTCTTTTTGTTTTATAAGGCTCCTTCCAAATTCACTCCTTGTATTTTTTCGGTCAGCATTGGTCCATCCTGGACAATGATGTTTCACTTAGTCATTCCATTTTAATCAATATATATATACACACACACACACACACACAGAGACACACACATATATACATCCATGTATTGTCCACATCCTTTCTGAAAAGTCGTTGTCACTGCATTTCCTAGGAGGTGTCAGTGTTTAACGCGCATTTAAAAAAGCGTAATTTTAGCTTGGTTAACTAAAATTTTGACTGAGCTTGAAGTCTAATAGCTATTTTAGGCTTGATTTATTTACATTTTGGTCAAGCTTCCGAATTCTTTCATGAGTCTGTCATGCTTGACATATGATCCCCCAATTTAACACCCTTGTTTATTTTAAAAGTCTAGCACTACTAACCCTAATAATTAATGAAATTTAGAGAACATTTACATAATTTATATTCATATAATTAGTCAACGGTTACTTTTTAATATGTTCTTCTATTCATGCAAGTTACACAAGTTGTTACTACTGTACGTTTCCGGCTAGCGTTGACAAGCGCTTTCATCGGATCATGGATTGACCGACTTGAACCAAACTTCCATTTTCTAACTTTAAATTTATATTCATATAATTAGTCAGCAGTAAGATTACTCCATTGTAATTATAGTGGGTTTGGTTTACGGCCCCACTACACTTCCACTTCTACAATCATATCAATAATAGTTTTAGTTGAATGGAAAAGATACAGAAGAAATGCATCTGATACTTGAGACTGACCGAAAAGTTTGATTCAAAAGTTTTTCAAGCGAGGGTCGTAGTTTAATTTGTCCAACAAATATAAAAAGAAAAGGCTTGATTAATTAATGCAAATGATGTTCAGAATATTGTCAAATGCATAAGAAATACAATGTAGCATCCTTAATTAACAAAAGAACAGTCCTGAAAACATACCTGACTTTTTTCAACTCCAGTTATTTCAATGAGTTTTTTCCTCTTCCTAACAAGTAAACCTAGAATTTGAGTAGAAAAAATATTACAGTAATATTTTTAAAATATAGACATTACTAGTTGGAAGTATTTTTATTCATGAATTAAGCTAGCATCACAACTATATAAGGATACATAACGTTAGTAAGAACAAGAATTATGTGGCCAAAGAAGTTGATTTCAAATAGTAGATAAAATGGGAAAAACAAACAAGACTAAAACGTCAATTAAAGAAAGAACAAGAGCATGAATAGTAATGAAATTAACTACCTGATGAATGAGGAGGCATATTACTACCCTTGATTGGTAATTGTGAGCCAAAATTTTGACATATGCAGTCGGAAATAACACAGATCTAGAAGTATAGACCAACAAGATAGAGAAACTGAGAAAGAGAGAGATATTCACCTAATGTCGCCGGAAGGGGGAGAAGAAAAGATTAATGAGACATCATTGGGGAAGAGATTATGTACTTCTCTCTTTTTGTTTGGTTAATGAGAATCTTTAGAGGGATGAAAATTTGTGATGAAAAAAGAATGACTCATCCATAATCTAATTATCTAACGAATGAAGTTTGTTTATTTCTTCATATCTTCTCACCACCCCTCATCCTTCCTTCCTACGGAGCATTAGGTACTTATTGGGCTCTATTAGGAGAATAACAGAATATCCTAAGCAATGTACAATTGTTGTGACCAATTGCACTAGTCTAGCATAAACTCTCCTCTCCAAATAGGAAGGTTGAGCATTCGAGCCTCAGCGGAATCATAACAATATATATATAGTGGGGTGCGTGTTTTGCTTGAACTTTAAGAAATTCACACAAGTGTACATCTAACTCTCTCCTTAACTTGCAGTAATGGAAGTCTCATGCACTGGACTAACCCTTTAAAGACCCCATTACTGGAGTGACATATCATACAACCGTTGTTCACTCCATAGTAGCATAGTTCTGTCATTAAATTTCTAACATAAGATCATTATGGATAACCCTGCTTCACTGGAAACATACAACAAACGCGACACATTTTCATCTGATCATCAAACAATACATTGTCGTGTTAAACAGGTTCCTGACTTTCCATACATCAACTCTACAAACTCTACAGAATAAAAGCTAAAACAAAAGCTCTAATCCACCAGTGGCATCAAAGATTCAGTACCTATATCACTTGGACTTGCCTGAGATTCTATACCGAGATCACACATTATTTAGTATCAATCAGGCAAGAGAGATGAATCTGAGAATTTGTCGTCTCCAATACAAAAGTAGACAGTAGATGAGCAGTCACTGATAAAGCAGTTTCAATTGGGGGCGTCACAAGCATGACCACCTTCTGATACAAAACCCATAGTTTCCTGCATTGTGGTGCTGTTGAGAAGCTGCATTCCCTCTTCACTCATCTGCTGAACTTCAGAAGGAGATAGAATTCTGATGCACCGGACACAGCCAACAAATTCCCTGAATACACATTGAATCAAAACCATCAGAATTTAGTTCGTCAAGTCATGATCTGAGGAACTGAAATGCTGCAACTCAGATCATAAGACCAGCTGATTCATAACAAACATCACTAATGCATAGCAAATAACTTCTGAAATCCCAACTAAATTGCCTTTAAAAGAAAATGCTAAATGTGCATTAGTTTAGTGAACGTCATAGATTCATATTCTTTCAAGTTTGTGTGAAGTTGTAGGAGAAAAAAGAAAGCATCATCACATACACAACTGGAAAGTCCTCAATTCACATATTTTCCACATCGCCAGCGGAACTGGCTGCCTGTCATAATTTTTTTTTAAATTGAAAAAAAAAAAGAAAAAAAAAAAAGAGGTTTTAGACTTACTCCCAAGGATCATCCCCCACAAGGAGAATGTCATTCTCGAAATCCACATAGACCAGTTTCCACCCAGAACCTCTTGGGTCATTGAGAAGCCCCTCAAGTCCGAACATGCATTCAATGGCAGAACGTAGTTCATCATAATCCTTAAATCTTGAGACATCAATCGACCTTCCAACTGATCCCGCCTTTTGAATCTGTCAGCAATATGAATGTTGTCATCATAGATAAAGGAAGAGACCAAGAAAAGGTATTAGGAAACAGAATTCAGACACATGTACATGCAAATCATGCGTGCAGTGGGATGGGAGTGAATGAGATGAACGGTATCCTTGAAACTAAGACACTGATGACCATGGATACAGGCACAAATTCATCCACCTTGTTCAATATTTTGTCTGGGCCTACTAGTCAACATATCCTAATATCCTATCTACCCAATGAACAATTTAAACGTCAATCACATCTAGACCTCTTTGTCGAAACACTGTGCACTCAACTGATTGTGCAGCTCCCACAAGGCATGTGAGCAACCCAACAGGGATCAGGCAAACATACAATTGATCCAGTTGATTCTTTAACTAGCTGAGATAGTTTGGGTTTTCAGAACACTAGAATAAGCAGCATATGCTGTTTGCACTTATATCTGGCTTTCTCCCCCAAATTACACAGTTAATTGCTATTTATGTAGCTAAAATTTTCTAACCTTTGTATAGGTTCGCACTGGTGCATTTACTTGTTGCCACGAGCTGTTCTGCAAAAGACTGCTATCATCAAAATCCACATTGCTTGAAGATGCGCCGCCGGAGTTGTCTGGAAATTCTTGTAGAGCAAATGGCTGAGAGTCTGCTAGGCTTGCTGATGTAATCTGAGAATGAACATCCTGGCTTGAACAGAAGTTACCTACCAAATAATCTGAGGGATTTTGGAAATCAGCATCTTTCAATGTGCTATAGTCATCCAATATAGTGCTTGAAACAGAAGGATCAACAACTGTGCTTCCACCATTACTACCATCAAAATTCAGGCAGCTGTATATCTCATTTTGTTTATGGCTTTCATCTGGCAAATCTCTCAAACCATCTGAAGTAGATATACCCTGAAGATTAAATGGGTCCTGCTGAGGTAATGGAGCAAGTTGGTTAGCTTGGGGCAAACACCTTAAATTATTAACCTGATGATCCCACATTTCATGGCCCATTGAATGTAGAGTGGGATTAACTGTTTCTGAGAACACCACCGAAGGATCTTGCTTTCCAAACACATGCGAAGGTCCAGGCGACCTAAGAAATCCATTAAGAGATTGACATGAATAAGGATACAAATTCCATTCAGTAGCCTCATGGTATGGAAGTAAACCATTGAGACTAGTCGACTCTAATTGGGGTGCATCAATTTGTTGAGGGTGGGCAATCAATGATTCTAACGGCGACTGCATGAGCCATGGATTAGTCTGTGATTGCAATGAACCAAGGTTCTGGTTGAGGAACGTCAGCTGATTTACAAGATTCTGCGGATTTGGGGGGTTTGCAGATAGTTTGTCTTCATAACACTGCCCCGCAGAAGAAGTTAACTGGCTTAATTGATCTGCTGCAAGCACAGGTTCTAATTTTGTCACTTCAGTATTAGTCCTGGGAGGCAGTGATTGGTTTCCAAGTTTGTTTGGAGCTTGTAATTCTCCTGGTACATTTGATTGTGATGGGAAGTTTGGATCTGAGGTATTGGGTTGGTCAACGTGGAACTGGGGGCGACTTTCATTCTCTGTCAATATATTTTCTGAATGAGGTTTCTGCTTCATCATTGCTTGCATCAGAGTCTTAGCATCTTGCAACTGAGCTCCTTTAGCAGTGGAATCTTGTACGGCAGTTGTAATAGTACCAGGATGGTTAATACTTTGAGGTTTTATTAGCATCTTCATTAGTTGTTCCGACCAAATGTTTGAAGTTGAGGGATATGGAAAGTCCCCATTTAAATTTCCAGTGACATGGATGGAAGGTCTCTTTATCAAATTTTCCCAATCAGTTTGGCCCCCTGGTACAATAACAATTGTCATTCCATGAAATATATTGCAAACTAATTTATATGAAGAAAGAATAAAGAATAAGTTACCTGGAAAACAAGACTGTAGAGGACGTTTGAGACTTGAAGTCAGAGAAGGAAAAATGAAAAGACTTTCAGGAGTCTCAATTTCCCATGGACTCACTCTGTTCTGTTTTTCACTACACCCGGTTTCATCCCACTCAACCTGTTTACGAAAAAATAATTGGAAGTTATACTAAACTATGGCCAAAAAGAAGCAATTTTTCAGAATGTACTATGCTGGTGCTTCAGACCCAAAATTCAGGTCGAAGCCCGGGATTCAGTCAAGTTCAGTTCATAAATAGCCATATTCACCTGAAGATTACGCCACTTGGAACCAGGCCACCTCAGTGGATCTAACTCACTTATACCAACAATTGTACCCATATATCTGCAGAGAGCATGAGAAACATGATCCATCTCTCCAAATAATGAAACGAAGAAAATAGATATTCATATCAGAACTTAAACATGGATGCACCATTAGAGCATCGGTATCTGCAAGTATTCATTGAAAATAAAATATTTGAACTTGTGTCTAGTCTTTAAATTCATTATAATAATTTGCTTAACCTCGTTTTAAATCTTCAATCCATGACCGAAATGTTTTCTATGAAGACTGGATTAGACAAGTGAATAAAGGAAATGAAAACAAAAACCAGAAGGATTAGCGGGCCCCCCAACAGAGATAAGACAGCAGCACCACACATCCAGAAATAAAATGAAATAAAATTCTCATCCAGAAATTTACCTGCGCTTACTCGACTCCTCTGTTTCAAACATCATGCCAAATCTCATACCAGCTGAAAGTTGTGTGCCATACACAGACTTTTGATATTTGGCTAAAGGAACAACAAACTCTGAGGGGCATGCCCTGTGGATAAGTAGAAATCGTAGTACAATCAAGAAACAACACAAATAGCAAATTATACAAAAACACCACAAAAATGGGTACAAGATCACAGATCGAACATACCTCGGATTGTAGAAAATTGTGAACGGACTTCGATTAGCAGCAGCATGAGCTGCAGCAGCAAGGACTCCAATCTGCATGCTATCAGCAGAAAGAACTGACGATGGCAAAGCAGTTTGCTGACGATTTGCACGCCTCACACCCAACAGTAGTTGCGACTTTTCATCCCTATCATGGCAATGAGAATTAACACTGTTTTATATAAGTCTATACCCAGAGATACCAAATGAAGCATGACAATGAGAATTAACACTGTTTTATACAAGTCTATACACAGATATACAAATGTAGCATCCCTTCACTATCTTGTTTCGCAAAAGCTCTCAACACTGTTACATTAGAACATTATATTGCACTTCCATCAATTAATAAACTGTGGCTAGTAAGTAATAGCAACCACTTCCATGATTTGGGTAGGTTACAGGTACATGATCAGATTTGAAGTTCTCAGCAATGGAGGAAATAGTAGAACCTATTGCATCAATGCAAAACCATGATCCACATGAGAAAAAACATGCCGACTTCCCATAGAAACAGACAGACTTGAGACAACCGTACCATGTTACCATTGGACAATTTTAGTAAGAACCGTATCAGCAAGTTACAACTATCATCATTGATTTAACTACAAGATGGTGTAGATACTTAAATTTTGTGATGGTCTAATCACCATCCAATCAGTAAAGAAGTCAAACACTCTTGGTCAATTAAATTCCATGAACACCCCATCAATGGAGACGTGTCAAAATTCTGGAGGTTTAGATCTTTGAAGAAAACAAATCTCTCATTTTTATGGGAATTAGCACAATTATTAGGGAGTTTCCAAAATTTACACTCCACCCTTCGGCCTATAAATACAGGGCCACCCTACACATTCAAGGCACACAGATAGAGAAACTAACAGAACGCCAAAGCTCTACCAAATCTTTGACCCATCAAACATTCTAAAGTTTCTGAAGACAAAGAACAACAAACACGACACACTTGTGCCATTCTTCTTCAAAGACCGTCATCGCACCATTCGAGGTCAAGCTTCATCAGCCCTTGATCGGAAATCCGTTCAAGTCTCTTTCAATCTTGAAGAACTTGAATAATTTCCAGCAACCGGTTCAAGATCAAACTCTTTCCAGACCTTCTCCGAACATCCCAAGGAGATTTAATCAGAGAAAGGTTCTTGTTATAAAAGAATCGACCACAGAGGATTGAACTGTTTTATTTGTTATTAATAAAATTGAATTGTTCACGTGTTTGGTCTTAGATTTTGGACTTGAAATTTGTGTGTATAGATGGTCAGCAGCACTAATGGCAACAAAAGAGTATTTTACCATGTACTGGAAATGGGCCTTTTCAATATATTTTTTTTTTTCAATTTCCCTGATATTTCATCACTTTCACACTGAGGGTATGCCCTCTATGCACCTGTAACAATCTTTTCCATCTTCTAATACAACTTCAATTATGAAAAACAAAAAAAAAAACAAACCAAAACAAAACAAAAGAGTATTTTTGGCTGGTAATGTATATGAAATGGTAGAGGTTTTATTTGTAAATATAAGGCGGAAAATTCAAACACATATTTGCAAATGTACATGCATGTCAGCAGGCAAACGTGCATGCAAGCACAAACAGACACTTGGATGTGCGTGTTGTACACACACACACAGAGAGATATTAAGGGAGAGTTACCGAAATTTCTGTGTCATTTGCAATTTCAAAGCAAAAGGAAAGAACTTCTAAAATTCTAGGAGTATAAAGAACCAACATATACAATCAATAGTCACCTGATAAATAAAACAGCATCACCTGCTCTAAGCCTTTTCGCACCAACAAATGTACTCCAACCAGTTGTGAGAAGGTGTCGCTTTGGCTGCCCTGCAAAAGGCAAAAACAGAATAATTTTTAAGAAAACAAATCTTATGCCTCTAAAAGAACAAGAGCATTCTTTTCTAAATATTTCTATTGCAGATACATTTTAGAGAAAACGAAAACCGTGTACTTGGGCACTTAGCTGTTTGTCAAGCATTTGCAATAAAACAAAATAAGTTGTACATAAACATGTTTCTAAAAACAAAAATGGAAAAAGATAATGTTATAAGCATACACACCACGGTATATATGACGAAATGTCCAGGTATTATCATGCAAGTCTCGGACAACAAGCTCCTGAGCTGGAGGTTGCATTGAATAATCCTAAAACAAGTATAAAGAAATAAATCCAAGATGAGATGCTAAATATGCATTCTCCTCCATCCACAACAGTAGTATGGGTACTCATTTGACAAGACAAAACTCTCACCAATAGTGGAAATAGCTTTTCTGCTGCCCTGCGAGGCACTGAAAAGCCACCATGGGTACTTGTATCACTTGCAGTCAAAGTTTTGCAGAAGAATTCACTTGGGTGTTTATTGTGCTTTAGTCCAAAATCTGGTATAGGGAAGACATCTTTTTCCTGATCCAAAAGCAGATATACGGTCATAGTTAGTAAAAAGTGTTTACTATCAAAAATTCCTGTGGCTTTTTCAATCATCAATTTTTCCAAGTCAATGAGCCAAAATAATTTAAAAGAAAAGTCAGACTTAATTTAAAGTAACTGAGCGTACAGAATTTACAGGTTGAAGACTCATTTGGGCATAGATCTCATCGGTATCTTTGTCTGCCTATCAGACAATTAGGAAAATGGTAAGAGCAGAGAAGATGCTCTAAGAAACATATAGAAATGTTTGTATTCAATGTACGAATTCTAGAAACAGAGAAAGGAGAAGTATCAATCGTAAGCACATACATGTAGCGTAACATTGTGAACTTGGCACCTCAATTGAGATGGGAGATCTGGATAGTTAGGGATTTGTGAGGTTGCAGTTCTATTTGTAGATGCTGCCACCTGTTATAAAAAATGAAGTCTATTAGCCTGGCAAGAAAAAGTATATTAACATTGTTGGTAAATTATGTTAATCAAACAGACACAAGCTGACTGAGAAATTTCCAGACTTCCTCTAGAAATGTATTCTGAATGGAATCCACTACGAAATGGATGCCTAGATACACAGAGTTCTATCATCTCATATTATGCAATATTCAAGTAATAACATAATAAATTTACAATATTTAATTACATACCCCTCATCCTACATTATAGATGCATTCATTGTCTTGTCTTGATCTCCATCAGAACAAAGGATGCTTAAAATAAAAGTCACCACCAAGTAAATACAAGGCTCAGTTATGCTAAGGTTAGAAGACCATTGAGTCTGTTCATCAAGAATTCACTAAAACAAAAAGGTATTGATGCCCAGTATAAATAAAAAATGAAGCTCAGATGCCATGTGGAAAACAACAAGTCACTTGTGAGACATAAATGTAGCAATACAAGTGTAGACAATGAAATCTTAGTCTTACAATATGTCTACTTTCTAATGATTTGTCCCTAAAATACTTGGGTTCTTGTAGGAGTACATGGATGCAACAGATCCTGTTTGTGCAAGCATGCAGATGGAAAGGTAAAATTACTACTTCGGTTTTGCAGGCATTACTTTATCAAACCATGTACTAATTTTAATTTCTCAACAGTTCCAGCTGAAATGGGGAACTCCTATATTCCTTATAAGCTATGCCCAGAGTACAACTGCAGCCATGCAGAGGTGTTTTCCTTTCCTAGAAAGGCAACAGGAACAATTAACTTTGGGAAAACTTGTACAACAACAAAGTATACAAAACAAACTAAAGTTTTAAGTAGTCTAAGTTATGCCTTGTATTCTATAACCTTTGAAGTCTATGTAGAGGCAGAGCATTATAAATGTGCATATGGCGGTGTGCTGTATGAAGTTAAAAGGGCAATGTAGGTATGAGAAATAAGAAAAAAGAAAAAGAAAAATTAACTGTTTGCAGACTGTTCAAATTGTGATTAAAAAGGATAAAAAATAATTTAAAAAAAAAAACTTGATTTGAGCACTCTACACTGATGATCCTTGTGTTTTCATAACAAACATGGAAGATCAAAAATATATTAAGAAAAGGACACTAGCAAGAACTGCTAAGAATAATTCTAGATTTGGCCTGGTTATTCTGTTAAAAAATAATCTATTCTATATATTTGGTAAGACAATCAACAGACTTATGTTAACAAGAAATTTTATTATTGCCTAATTGGCCTTGATTCCTCATTTATAAGAATTTTTGTTGAACAGGCCTTAGTACACATTTTCCAAAAGCAACATAATAATTTATTAAATTCACATTGATCTATATCATACTTCTACTTGTTCTAAACAAAAAATTACACTGCCCGAAAGGCTAAACGGAAAACCAAAACATCATATGGTGAAAACAATTGCCAATAAATATGCCAATTTCAAGAGGAAAAAGTTAACAACTATGAAAAAAAAAAAAATCAAACCTGTTCAATGTGTCCTTGTGGGAAGTAATACACAAGGCTTCCCACCTGAGGCAAGGTGACCAATGGGCCAGCACATGCGTGCCATAGCTCTGAATTCATCGGCTTCCGGACCCCTAAATCACAGACATCTATAAGATTCAACATAGAATAGCTCAAGAAAACACAATTCTTAAAACTGATGGAAGTGTCCCAAGTGAAGCCAATGTATACAGCATTTAAGCATTGTTCATTAACTTACCATATTTTCTACTTGTGAACAAGACATATATATATAGAGAGAGAGAGAGAGTCAAGACTCTTAACTTTAATAAAGAACAGAACTTTGTGAAAGAAACTAACCAGAATGATCCTGCGTTTTCTTCAACAATTTCATCTCCTCAAGTAGAGTATGTGCCCCACTAACCAACCCTCCTTTTCTGATCTTCTCTTCAACAGAACCCATATGCTCTCTCTCGCTCTGCCTCAACCACGAGTATCCATTACTACATCAACTAAGCTGAACCTCAAAACCCAAAACCCCAATTGCAAAACCCACAAAATTCATCAAATACGCCTCAAGAAAACCCATATTTCCTCTGAAAAACAAGACATAACCTATGACCCAGCTCAAGAAATCACAATATTTCACCAATGAAATGAAGCAATCACATGTTTGGTCAAATTAATCAGAAAAAAAAAACCCCCACAGACCCACCTCAAGAAACCACAGTTTCCTGAGAAGAACAGAGAAATAAGCAACAACCCATGTCACAGAATCTAGTATTCCGCTAGAAAGCAATCAAATTAGACACAGAGCACGCCCCAAAAATACAAAAATCAGGAACAAAACCTGTAAAAAGGTAGTGAAATCTAAGTGGGGTCTCCCTATGTAATCTATCAAAAGAGAGCAAAGAGGAAAAAAAAAGAAAGAAAAGGGTCAGTTTTGCATCAAAGCACGCGGACCAAAGCATGAGTGGTCGGATTATCGAGTGCTTTGTTTTTTACCATCTTATAGCGACCAGCGAGTGTCAAAAGAAATCGACCTTTCGATCAAAGTGGTCATCATACTGATTGATTCCTCCCAACCTCGCTTTCCTTTTGCCTCTCTCTCTCTCTCTCTCTCCTCAATCAACAACATACAACCAAAACTTTCATCCCTCTCTCTCTCTCTCTCTCTTGCCTGGTTAATTGAAACTTGCATGCTCTTATCCTGCGCGCACACACTTTCTCTGTATATGGTGATTCCGTTGCAGCTTTAAACTCTCAGAAAATTTTGAGTTAAAAGGAAATATAAAAAAGAAGTGGGAAAAAAATTAGGAAAAAGCAACAAAGACTACGCCAACACGAAAACGTACTCAAACTTCGCAGTTCAGAATCTTTAGACTTTAGAGACTGAAATCGAATATTTATATATATATATATATATATATATATATACACACACACACACACTGTTGCTAATAAAGAAGAGAGGAGAGAGAGAAGAATGACAAGGGGGCGCATTTTAGCACGTGGATTACGAGGATATGCAAAGGGTCTTTTCAGTGTGTTTTCACGAATTTCGATTTTTGAGGTTTGGCTTTTTGATTTGGAATAATGCAATTCCAAAGTCTACCTGAATATTCATTTAAAAATTCATTAACAAAGAAATAAAAAACTTTACACCCCCTTGATTAAATTATATTATTGATTTTGATTATTTTTATAATTTTATTTATGTTATATTTAGCAATACAGAATCGACTCTTTAAATTTAAAATTAAAGAATTTTAAACATATTCTTAAATATAACATTATGATAATTTAAATTAATTTATTTTTATAATGAGATCACTTTATGAGAGCTCACAAAAAATATTATGAAATAAGTCTTACCCTTTCATTTGGTACTTGCTTGCTATTTTATCTCGGGTTTTTTTTTTTCCTTTTTTTTTTCTAAGGAACTTTTTCTCTTAACTTTCTCTCATCTGATAGTTGACCACTCGTCACGCGTGCGGGTCACGACAAATTAGCGGGAGGCGCACGTTAACCAAATGCGACACGTGTCGCTATTATGCCATGTTGGCTTTGAGGGTCCTTGTAATATAATATTCCAGATAATGATAAATTATAGTATAATTAAAGTTTTTTTTTTTTTTTGGCAAAGAAATAACATACGTAGTAAAAGTGTATTAAAAAATTAAAACCAAATAATCAAAAGCATATACTTTTTTGCTCAACTCTTATGGTTGACCCATGCGATGATAAATGATAAAAAATAAATAAATAAATAAATAAATAATTCATATGATGATACACACTAACTAACAGTCCGCCGAGTAAATAATGTTGTCAATTCTCAGACTTTTATTTTAAGGTTTTTATTCTTTAGTAATCGAAGTTCTAAGATTATGATTTGGCCCGTGCTTGACTAGTTAAGCAAACAAATGATTCTGAATTGTTTTTTTTCTTTTGGATATTTTTATTTGTATAAGTATTTTACATTGATGATGAAATTTATGAAGTTTTCACACGCTACTTGTATTCTATACAAAGGAATTTTGTTTAGTTTATAAATTTGTGAGGAAAAAAAAAAAAAAAGGATACCGAGTTTTTGTATTAAAAATTTGTTTAAGGAAGGATGACTTACACTACTTGTACTGTTTTATATAAATTTTCTTAGTGATCCAACAAGAAAAACATAAAACAAAACAAATTGAAGTGGTCCACTTCATTCGTGAAATTTAAGGAATGGAAAGGTAATTTCTAATCTTTTGTTTTATTCACCCTTCTTAGATATAATTTTTTTTTTTTTTTTTTTTTTTTTTTAACATTCACTCTTCTTAGATCACCTATCACTTTTACTGTAATATTTTGTTTGGTTAGAGGGATTAAAAATGAATAGTAGGGAGAGGCGGGTGGCATTTCTAGAGAATGAAAGAAACTCCTTATTTTTTGTTTGGTTGATCGTAAAAAATATAAATAAGGTAATATATGTTATTTTGTTTGATTGAGAGGAATGAAATGGTGGTTTTTTATATTTTTTTATCAATAAATCCATAACGTACCTGTGAAAGGAAAGAATTATAATATGGTTTTAATAAGTGATTTTGTAAATAATAAGAATAAAAATTGGCATTACGTATTTATAAGGTAAACTTTCCATCTTTATTTCAATCTGCCCAATTTTATCGTTAGTTTCGAATGATTTCATATCATGTTAACTTAATTTACTTGCTATTTTTGCATTATGCTTACTTTGTAAAATAGTCAGTTCTATTCTTTCTAGAGCATCTACAAACACCCTAAGTGTATTTTTTTATTATTTTATCATTAATAGATGTCACACCTAATTTCTCAAATCACAATTTGATTAGTAATTTTATCTTTTATAGTCAGATTCATCTTTAACATCCTCAATTCTAAAACCTAGACACCATGTAAAAATAATGCAAGTTGATATCTGTATTTTTATACTTATTTGAATTTTAATAATTCACATAAGTTTTCAAAAAATATATATTTTTTGAAAATTTATCTCTTTCAAATAATATTCAGATTATATTATAAAATACACTTAATTTATTTCAAATGAGGTAAAATTAGAGTATGAAACAAGTTTATGAACACAAGACAAACTCATTTGGGGAGGATGAGACAAACATGAGAAAACTCATTTGAGATGGGTGAGCTAACACGTAATTGATGGGATGGTTCATGCAATGTACATGGCAAAGAATGATGTCTTTCTTCTTGACCACTGTTGTATACGGTCCATTGTGGAAAAAGACAAAACTGCCCCACAGATAAGGTCGAAGAGAGAAAAGCGAAAAGGTGTTGTTGCACTGTTGCCTGATGTATCTCACTTTAAAAAGCCCGCTAATCCGAAACCATGGACGACCGACCAATTCGGGTCAAATTCGAAGCAGGCGCTGTTTAAAAACGTCATTTTCATTTTCTATTAATAATCTACTTTTATTTGTACAGTGAAGCGTAAACCCCCAATTTTAAAGTGTGGAGATGAACTACATTCAGTGTATCTGTTTTTTTTTTTTTTTAAATAAAAATAAAAAAATTATCAGAAATATATATATATATATACACATCTTATTTGAATTATTATTATTATTATTATTTTGATAAAGTCATATGGAAAGCACCAAACGGTTCCACTAGTATCAACTCCAAAATTGATCTTGGCATTAATGAATCGAAACCAGCACGATCGTTACCTTCTAAGAAATACGAATACTTCTTTTAAGGTGCTATGGTGGCATCGAATATTCGAATATTTTTTAATACATAAATATGGTTAGGACATGTATCGGATACGGCATGGATACGACAATGATACATTTTGGATACTTTTAGAATACGGCGGAATTTTTTTTTAATTATTTTTTAAAAGAAAATTAAATTCAATACAATTTAAAACATATTATGGGTAAATTATAAAAAATATTAAATTTAAAAAAACAAAAATAACAAGTATTTAGCTCTAAATTCTAAATTAGTGATTTATTTATGATTTATTATATGGATAAAATGGCAAAAAAGATAATATATATATTATATATTTTTGACGTATCCATATCATATTCGTATCTTATTTTTTTTAAGATTTATCATATCGTTATGTCCGTATCGTATGTATTCGTATCCGTATCTATGTTTCATAAGACTTACTATTGTCTTATCACACTAGTTCTAATTAGATTCATCAATTAATTAGATTTCAATCTGAATTTAATCTGATAACTCGGATATGAATTGAATATTTAACCTGATAATTTGTTAACAATTTAAATTCGATAATTCATTTTCATTAACAAATTAATTATGCATTATGGTCAATTTGATCCATTAATAATCCGCCATGACTAATATGATATATAATATGTTATACATAAATCATTTATGATTCAATTGGTATGGCAGTTGATGAAAGTATTAATAAATAGATAGGATAAACAACATATAACTTGCTCCCACGGTATAACGGCGTTGGTAGGAATTTGGGAAGTAAATTATTGAGATCTCGCTTTCGAATTGTACTTCTGACTTGACCGATGCATGTGTTGTGAGGCCGACACACATACTCTAAGGAAAAAAAAAAAAAAAAAACGCCCTTGACTTTTACTATTTTGCAGTAAATCCCTATTTATTATATATATATATATATTTTATCAAAAAATACCCCTCAACAACCAAGGGGGGTTGTTTTTTGAATTTTTGCCTAAAATACCCCCACCTAACAAGTCGATAAGGTTTTGTTCAATTTGCCCAACTGTATGAATATTTAGCTACAATATTCTACTTTTTTTTCTTTCTTTTTTTTCTTTTTTGAATAATAATATTTGAACTCTTTTATGTTACATGCATCACCATACTCATATTTATGAATGCAACTACATGATATTTATTTACCATATGTCTAGCATAGTTAAATCAGTAATATCCTTTTTATTCAATTCTTTTTATTAAAAAAATTAGAGAAAGCATATTGTTTTACGCCATTCAATTACTTTTTGTAATTAAAATTCATTTGTTGAATAAACATTAAAATATACATACTTATACATACATATATATATATATAAACATTAAAATCAAAAATATTATTTACAATATATAATATGAGTAAACATTAGATTTGAACTTATATGTAATTGCACTTATAACTATAAATTTTATTTTTTTTTATTTTTTTTTAATTAAAAAGTATGGTAATGCATATAACAAAAAATATAAGTTGAAATTTAATTAACAAAAAATATAAGTTGAAATTTAATTATTGTTCAAGAAACTCCAGGGGGTTGGCTCAAGCGAGTAAGAACATGCCTTGGTGTTAAAAAATAAATAAATAAATAAAAAGCTTTTAGCTTGCATAAACCTTGGGTTTAGAGATGGTAACAGGGGCGGGGTTTGGGCGGGTGTACCCTCCCCCACCCCCGCAACCGTTTCAAAACTCTGCCTCCCGTCCCAGCCAAAAACCACAAAAACGGGGGGACTTTCCACCCTATCCCCGCAACCGTTTAACATTTTTATCCCCACAGGTACCCGCCCCGCCTCGTTTAATACCACAATTTATTTATTGTTGAAATAAATTTGCTCTTTTTTCTTCCCCTAATCTTCAGTTCTTCATCATTGTAACTTTCCTTCTAATCAAATTCATTTGTTACTTTAATATTGTTATATAGGGTACTTAATATATATATTAGAAAATATATATACTAATGAAATAAGGGCTCAAGTAATTTATTTATCCAAACGGGGCGGGGCGACATCCCCACGCCCTTGCACCAAACCGGTGCGAATTTTTATTATATCAAATTATTTCCACCAAAATAAGCTAAACGGTCCCCCAAAATCGCCAAAAACAGGACAAGGCGGGTAACCGCGGGGGCAGGTCAAAT